ATTGAGTAAATAATTTTCATAATTGAAAAATGTTAGACTTTTTTTCCTTGTCAATTTATATATATTGATTTGATTTTGTATATTTTCTTCAAAATTTAGTTTCTTTTATTAAGATATTTGTCCTTAATTAATTTAAATCAAATGCTAATTTAGTTTATCTATAGTTTATAATGCATAAAATAACATATGAAAAATACAAAATAAGATCAATAACATGCTACTTTCATAAATATACATTAACTTTTTTAATAAATTTATAATTGATGTTAGCTTTTTTAAAATTTTAAATTTTGTTAGATTATACCTCTATATCATTCTTTTACACTAAATAATATATTATTAAAAATTTTAAATAATATTAAATAAACACCTTATCAAATTGTCCATATAAAAGAAAAACGATAAAAAAAGAGTACTTTAATATATTAAAAATAAAATTTTATATCATGGGTTTTTTTTGTGATTGTTTCATTTCACCTATTATGTAGTTTTAAGCTGCAAAAGTTTTTTAGCTCTAATTTTTACTTATTTTTTATTTTACAAATATTTTTATGTTTGACTTGGATAATTTTACATTAATATTAATGGGTATTTGTCACAAATTAACAATGAAGTCTGAAAATAAAAGAAAAGATAATAAATAAATAGAACAAAGGAGAAAAACAATGGTAGGTTATAACTTTAGCTAGTTAGAGTAAGATTTACATAAATTAAATTATTTACAAACCAAAATTTATTAATATTTATATATAATACCCCAATTTTTTTTAAAAATAAGAAATTTTCTACTACTAAAGTACATTTATTCTTTATTAAAATTCTAAAATATTTTACATTAATATTCTAGTGGGGGCAAAATGTAAAATTATTAAAAATTTTCTAATTTTATATTATATTTAAAAAAGATTTTAAGATTTCACTTAAAGGGCAATTGCTCCAGCCTCCATTGTAAATCCGTCCTTGATGGAATATGTTGGGATTTGAGTTAAAAATGTATTTGATAATATTAATAATGATACAATTATATATTTTTAAAAATATTAAAATTTATCATGAATAATTATAATAATATAGTAATATATTATTTCAAATTTTTACTTATAATTTTTTAAATGTATTATAAGTGAATACAATTTGTACATTAAGCTTTTTTTTTTTTTTAATAAAATCATGTTAAATTGTGATTATGTTGGTTCCAGATGAACCAATCCATATCAGCTAGCCTACCATAAGGCAACTAATATTTATTTAAAAAAATATCAATTTAAAACATCTGCATGAAAACATACAATTGCACAATCCACATTCAATTATATATGAAATTAAAACCAGTAAATGGACATCTAAATTTCATATTCAGAGGAATGGTTGTTGCTCGTGAAATTCTTTTCCTCCTCAATTTCACATTTCAGCAGCTCATTTGTGACAGTATATGGGAGATCAACCACTGCTCTTTTAACCTTAAGTTTTAATGTTCTTGCAACATTAATTTGGAAAAAAACATGCTCACCCATCGGCAATGCCCAAATATAATAAGTAGCTGGCTTCGTGTTAAAGTTCATAAATAATAATCTGCAATTTGTGGCGTTGATACAAAGCATATATACAATGACATACAAGAGTTGAAAGTATAGCAATGTTAAACATTAGACAAAAAATCGATTGGCAATAAATGAAAAAATCCAATTTCAATATACGATCGCAGACATTTCAAGATTTAACCAAAGTGAAGTCACTCGTAGGCGCAGCTACCATGTAACAAACTCAGAAAGATATAAACGCATGTACCCACCACATATGAGCATAACTATCAAGTGTTCAGAAGAGATACAAAGCAGAAAGAACATAAGAGAACCTGATTCTAATATCATTTTAAGCATCAAATTTAAAATCAATTGTAATAGGTGGTGAGACCCAAATTGAGTATAAGATCACATGTAATCCTAAACTTTAAAGATGTGAGACAACATCACTTGACAATAAATATATGATTTACAAGTTCGTGATTCAGCTATCTCTGTCATATTTCTAGTTTTGTACTAGCACAAGCAATCCTTACATCATTGATCAATGATTCTTGAACCTTGATTCCAGCTTCTTTCATTCGATACAGAAGTTTAATGGCCTGAATACAGAACTCATTATGTACATAGCCCAGAAGCATGGCATTCCAACATGCAATGTTTCTTTTATCACCAACAATCTCAAATGCCTTTTCAGCATCTTTCACCAATCTGCATTTACCATACATGTTGATCAATCCGCATTGTATGAAAACATCTGATTCTAAACCAAGCTTGATAGCACTGGCATGAACCTGCCGACCGGACATGCCGTCATCATTCATCCCAGCACATGCCTTTAAAACACTTGAAAAAGTAAAGCTATTTTTCTTAATAACCTGTCTGCCCATCTCAATAAAATCATCAATAACCTTACTGAATTGATCCTCCCTACAGCTATTTACGATTTTTGCTGTCCAAGTCACAGTATTACGTCGCGACAATTGATTAAATACATAGTTGGCATCATCTAGGCAACTGAAGTTTCCATAAAAGTTGATTAAGGACCCAGATAGAGACAAATCATTGCCAAAACCCAACTTGAGTAACTGCCCATGCAGTTGCTTTCCTAATTCCATATTCTTTGTCAAAACACATGACTTGAGAAGACATACGATGATCCAGGCAGGAAATTTGAAGATAAGATTGCGCTGTTCCATAAGCACGAAATAAGCAATAGCCTGTTCAGAGTCACCAGCGTGGAGACATGCAACAATCATGATTGCCCAAGAGTTGAAGTCTCTAAGAAACATCTGATCGAACAACTGACGGGCAAGTTCCAGGTGACCGCATGAGACATGCATGAGAAGGAGGCGGTTAAGCAAAGGTAAGGAGAGCTTGATACGGCTCTTTTTGACGTGTGCATGTAACTCGAGAGCCCTCCGGGAGTGGCGGGTGATGGTACATTCTTTGATCAGGGAAGCATATATATCAGGTGGTATGGGAAGGGAAAGGCTATCCATTAAGCGCAAAATATCGGAGGTTGTGTGGCTGCTAGTACTTGGGTTGGTCGACATGGGTTTGGTAGTTGGAGTAGGAATGGCTGGTGGTGTTGTTTTCGACGATTGTTTCAGAATTCGAGGGGGCAATTGAATCTGCCGTTCGGATTTGGTTGGTGTTGAGATGGCTTGAGAGTTGAGCAAAAACTTGTTGGAATGTAAAATCTTAGGGAGACATTGGGAAACCACATCCATTTCTGATAAGAAAAAAAACAATGTTTCATCTGTTTGACAGAAACTATACCTACGAGAAAGGCTGAGGAGAAGAATAGCGTTGCGTTTGAGAGGAGTAACGTACAGAAATCAGATTTAGGAAGTGTCTCTTGAGTTTTGACTAATTTTATGTACTCAATCACGAGTTAAGGGCACATATCTCCAAATGATTCAATGTACATATGAAAATCATATTTTATCTAAATACTATATCCCAAACAAAATGTATGCCCAAAAATAAATTGAAAAAAATAAAAAAGGTTTGAGTGGTTGAAAATTTTAAATATAATAACATGATATGAAAATCAATATTAAAAATAAAATTATAACATGATTTAAAATTTTAATAAAAAAATCATATATATATTTACTAAAAATTAAAAAATACATGTTATATTTAAATGTCAAATGATAAAATAATTTTATATTTATATTATTATATATTTGTCAATAAATAATAATTACATAAATTATTAAGTCTAGCTTGATTGGCAATTTTAACCAATTATATAAAAATCAAAATTGTAAACAAAAGGACATGCTTTTTGATGATGGAATTGGATTAATCAGAAGAGCAAATTCTTCACTGATTTACAGTGTTTATCTACTAACAAAGCATTATTATATAGATTTAATTTCAGTTACAGCTAATTTTACGTTCACACGTTCGATTCGAATTATCAGGGATCAACGAATGAAGAAGAGTTCCTATTGCAAATGTACTGTATGGACGAGGATGATATACACCAACTTGATTCTCAATACCAGCTAAAGAGGAAGAGATGAAGAAAACAAATCCACCTATTCCATAGAGAAAATTCACTCATAAAATTGAAAAATCAGTAAAATATTGATAAAAATATGTTCAATGGTGTGTCAAATCGATTCTTCAAAATGTTTCACAGGAATAACATCCAAAGCAACTTCCCATGAATCTCTGTTTAGTAAAATACCCTGAACAATTATATGCTGTTACCAACCAAACCTGAATGTGTGTTGAACATCAGTTTCATGATCTACCACCATGTTCTGTTGAGGTCATCAGGACCACCTCAAAAAAGTTTATAGGCCACTAATTTGCTATAATTTTCTGGTGACTGAGATCAGTTCTTTTGAGATTCCATAAAAAATTCCGTCATGTTAAGGTAAGCAACCGGCGAAAGCAGAAAATATTAGTAGTTTAAAATATGAAGTATCTTATATTAAATAAAAAAATTATTTGTATATAATTTAAAAGAAATTATTTATGTTATTTAAGTAATTAATTTAAGTGTTAAAATGGAGCAAATTATTTGGGTTTGTTAGAAATTTTTTTAATGAGTTAAATAATTTTAAAAGTTAAAAATTGGATATTTGAATTTGTTTAATAAATAAATTTATTTTTTTAATCTTTTATTTAATATATTTTTGAAATAAAATAAAATAATATTAATTTTATTCTCAATAACTTGTTTGAACAGAAAAATATAATTATACAAAATATCATAATTCTTTTAATAAAAAATTGTAATTATTCATTTATTACAGATAAATATTTTTACATGATCAATTTTACTAATTTTGATTTGAAAATTTTTATATTTTATATCGTATAAGCATAATTACTTTTAAAATAATATTATTTACGTCTAAAAATTATATATATTTATTATTTCTATTTTCTTAAGGTTTTCTAACAAGAAATTAGTAAAAGAGGGATCAAACAATAATTTAAAAAAAAAAACTAAATTAATAATTAATAGAGACTGATTATTATATAATATGGAGGTAAAAATTTTTTGGAGGCCATGGCCCCGCCTGCCCCACTCTAGCTCCACCACCGTTTATTGCAGATTTATCACTAGAGAGAATCTTCACAGTCACTCTCTGGCAGCGTTGGATCATCACAAACAAGATAATGAAAATTCCACCCAACAAGATATGTTGAATAAAGATTACATTATGATAAGACAAGTGGGAATTCAAGTTATTGCAATAGTTAAACACATTGGAGAACAAATTAATGGAACTTGGAGAAGAAATCAAACATTTGTTTGTTGATGTCATCAGGCTTTTCTTGGTTGATCCAGTGAGTAACTCCTTTCATTACAACTGCTTCCTCCAGAAATGGTACATCTCTCTTGAACGCGCCATTGTGAATGTATTCCTTCATACCAGGCATAGTGTAAACAAGATCGAGATTACCCATCACAAACTTTACGGGGACCTTAATTTGACTTCCAGACCATGGGGCTGATAGTTCCCAGTTTCTGTGATCAAGAGAAAGAGAAAGAAAAAGGAGATTAACGATCAGGAAATGCGGGTTGAAGAAAGAGATCAATGATCAGGAATCGGGCTTCCCTATGGACGAAAAGTTGAAGAAGCCAGAATTAATAGTTAAAGCGGGAAAATATTAAGAAATTTGATAAACGTACCGATCAAAGTTACGGTAATAGTTGAGAGCACCACTAATGCCGGTTTTCTCAAATTGGGTGGCATAGTAGTTGGCATCTTGGTGTGATAACCAAGGGGGCAAATTAACTGGATCATCTAAGGGATGCCCGAACAGATTTCCTTTTGGTAAATAAGGAGGATCTGGTACACGGTACGATAGTAACTCCAATACAGCTCTTCCCACACCAATCTCTGCAAATTCTGCTTCCATTACTCCAGGCTCCTGCACCATTGTTACCATCAAACATATATCACATTTTTCTCTTCTTTTCTTGGAAGAGAGCTACCATCTAAGTCAATCGAGTTAGGATAAAGAACAGATCAAAGATTTAAAGAATCAAAGATCAAAGAAGGACAAAATCTAAGATTTAAATCCCTGTAGACAATATATATATATATATATACACACACACACACCAAAAGAAACAATTCATATGACCCAATTTATGGATCACAATTGGAAGCAAAAGAGTGAGAGAGAGAAAGAAAAGAACAAAGGAAATTATTTGGTTAATGAAAAACACAAAAGAATTCAACCTGAAACCTGACGATGTAATGGTCATTCCCAAAGAAAGATTGCCAGGTCTCGATGGGTTTAAATCTTGGATTATAAGGAATAAACGGCACACTCAAATTGAACAAAGCTTTCACTCTGTCCGGTCTGAACAAGCACAAGTACCAAGCAATGATGGCACCCCAATCATGACCAACCACGAACACCTTATTCTGATCCGGTGCAACGGCGTCAAGGAGGGCGATGAGGTCCCCCACGAGGTGGAAGCAAGTGTAGCTAGCGATGGAGGGTGGTGCATCGGTTTCGCCATAGCCACGGAGGTCAGGGGCCAAGGCTCGGTAGCCAAGGGAGGCTAAACCATTGATCTGGTGACGCCAAGAGTACCAGAGCTCAGGGAAACCATGAAGGAATAGTATCACTGGGCCTTCCCCTTTCTCTGCTAAGTGCATGTTTATGCCATTTACTCTCACTGTTTTGTGCTGAATCCCCTCCATCTTAATTTCTCTGATTCAGTTCAATGTCTACTACTTTCTTCAGCTATTGGTATTTATAGAGAAGAAATTATGAGCGGTGATGGCTTAAATTTCCGATTTAAGAACGAGTTTGGTTTGGGGGCTGCAGCCACTTCTTATCCTTCAAATCCTATCCATTTGTCGTAAAAAGAATACGTCACTGATGAGAACCGAAAATGCTAAAATAACTTAAAAGTTATTAGATTTTGTAAATTTATTTAAATAAATTTTTATATTTTTATTAGATTCAAATAAGTTTTTTATCTTTAATTTATATTTAAATTAATTTTTAAATTTTAATTTATATTCAAATAAATCTTTAACTTTTAATTTACATTTAAATAAGATTTTAATATAAATTAATTTATTATTTGAAATAAAATTTTATTTAATATAAATAAACAAAATTTATTAAATATAATAAAAAAACTTATAATTTAATTAAAAAAATAATCCAAAGACTTTTTTTTTAATATTTTAGCCAACCGAAAACGATGACAATCAATAAGCATTTATTTACCTTCGGACGAGACGTGTTCACATGCCCAACGATTTGCATTTAGTTATTATTATTGTTATTATTATTTAGGTATGATTTGCTGTTAGCTATTAGTGAAATTTATTTATTTAGAAAAAATAGGAGTAAACGTCATTTAAACTTTGATAATTTGATGGAAAAATAAAAAGATAAAAAATTAGTGAGAGATATAAAATAAAAACTGAAAAAAATATTATTTTTTATTAGTATGTTTGATAGAATCATTAAAAAGATGGAAAAGTGAAAAAATTTTCTTTCTATTTATTATTTTATAGAGTTTTTGAGAAAAAAAAAAAAAAACAAGTTTATGTTATTTTATTAATTATATTTTTATAAGTTAAAAAAAATAAAATTTTAAAAAATTCAATAAGCTTATAAATATACACACTTAATTATATGTTTTCCATTTTCTATACATCAATCTTTTTAATTTGAAATAATTTGTTATTAAGAGTAAGGATAAAAATGACAATCCGTTTCATTTTCCTTCTCTACATTTTTCTCTCTTATCAAACACCATTTTTTTTTTCATTTTTTTATCCACTCTTATTTATTTTTCATTTTTTCACTTTAAATTTGGCTTTTTTTATATATAAATTATTACTTTCATCTTTGATAAAAAGAAGTTTAATAGTTATCATTCACAAATTTAAGACTTGGTTGTCCTTTAAAAAAAAAAAAGAAAAAGAAAAATCAAGTTTTCTTCATGTGAATAAGATGATATATGTAGGGATTTTAATTAAGTATTTGATGCGATCATAAGTAAGTTTTAAATAATTAATGTCATTATAATAATTCGATTCAGATTAATATAATTTTAATAGTTACACATGAATGTAAGTAAGTTGAATTTACATAGTAAAATTAATACATAATTTTGAATAAAATTTCAATTAAAAGTTTTTTGTCAATAATTAAGTGGTTTATTGATGCAATGTTTAATTATTTTTTTCGTGATTAAGATTTAATTTTAATAATTTAAACATTAAAGTCTTTATTAAAATAAATAAATTAAATTCCTTCTAATATTATGATTAAAACATTGCCAAAAAAAAAAAAAAAACACTCTTTCAAGATCTTAACCAACCGTTCCAATTGAAATTGCTTTTTACCTTATTTATGGATTTCAAATTATGTGTAATTTTTATGTGTACTTAAAGATTTCAGTCCTAATCTTATAAAATTTATCATTTCACAGTTAACATTCTTTACATTTAAAAGTAATTTATCAAATGTTGAGTTTATTTGGTAAAAATAATGAATTTATTTTCTTAATATAATCTATACAATCTACATTTATACATATATACAATTATATTTATTACAGTCAATAGATTTAATTATATTTATTTATTAATAAATATTGAAATTTACAGTAAATACATAAATTTTAAAAGATTAATGAAAAATTTAAAATAATAAAAAAAAAACTCTCATGTGTTGTAATTAGGGATGTCAATAGATAGAATATAAGTAGGATAAAATATTTCTCATTTTTATCATATTATACTCATCTCTATACCCATATTCAATACGTATTTTAAATTTATCTTTATCATCATTTTTGCAGGTATTTAATAGATATGGGTAATCCACATATTTATAACTTAAAAAAAATTAAAAATTAAAAATTTTTTAATTTTTTTAATTTTATCTTGTATATTTGATTAATTTTTATAAATATATATTAATATATATTTTTAATAAAAATATATTCATTTTAATTTATATTATTTAATAATAAATTTATAATATAAGATACGAATATGAATACTAATATTATTTAGCCCTCAAAGTTCAAACCTTGAAAGCACAAAGCAGTTAAAATTCCAACATACATTAAGTATTTTAGGGGTGGACTGCTTTTCCCTTCCTCGGCGGCGGTGGGTGGGGTGGCTTTTTCCTTTTTTGCGGCTCTCTCCCTTCGTCTGTCTCTTATCCTTTGACCCATCTCAAGAAACCAAACTTCTGCTGCTTCTTACCCATTCCTTTTGGTAGGTAAATTAAGTTTCCCACTTTCTTTTTATTTCCTTTTCAATAATTTTATTCTCTGTTCTGTCTTTGTGAGATTGCTATAACTGAATTTCCATTGTTTGAGATGTTTAATTGGGGGATTCTTTTTTCTTTTTTCTTTTTTTTGTAATAATTATTTTAGTTTATTCCACTAATTTGACTTAAGTTAAACCTGAATTTGATTTGGGAACTCTTTTTTTTTGTATGAGAAATTATACCACTGTTTGATTCTCTTTCCCCAATCGGTGACTCTTTTCAGGGATTTGATTTAAATCTTGTAAGATTAATGCTTTGGAATTGAATTAGTTGAGTCGACCCTTGGGGGATAATTTTGGAAGGATCCCACCACTTCCATCAACTTTTCCCAATCTAAGCTTTTTTTTTTCCCTTTTGCTATGATCTGATTTGAAATTGCATTTGATCTAATAATTGTAATTATTATAGAATTATCATTATCCTTTTGGCCAAGCATCCATTAATCCCACACTGCCAGAGTCAATGTGACAAAGTTCATTCTGGAAACTACAACGGAAAGGAAAAGGCTAAAAATAAAAGAGAACGATCAGTGAAGTCAAAATTTTCTCGTATCCCTGGTATAAATAGGGTTTTTCACGTATCGACAAAGCTTTGAGATTTAAATCCAACCTTATTGGATGCCACCCTTTAATGATGACTGTACGAACTGAATGCATTCAATCTTATTTCAATTTTAGTTTAGCTGGTGCATTATATAAGTTAGTTCAGTTATTTCAATCTGTTAATGAATTAGATTTCCTGTTTGGTTTGATAGATACTTGTTTTATAGGTTAGTTTGATAGAATTCATTGTGATTCATATTACATTGTTTTGATGTCCAGACTGCAACCATGGTTAGCGGTTCCATAATTCCTTCAGAGAGCAAAAGATATTTTTGATATTCAAGTTAGCACTTATCAATCGAGGTTCAAGATAACCACAAAGCTTCAACACCAGAGATGAATTCTGAGGAGAAAACTCTTGTTGAAATCATAGATGAGAATAAACAGATTGACCTTGCCAAGTATATAAACTACGTCAGTGCCCCTCAGGCTGGTGCCATAGCAACATTTTCAGGCACGACACGTGACACTTTTGAAGGAAAAACAGTAGTGGAGCTAAGATATGAAGCATATGTACCAATGGCAGTTCGAAACCTCAAGTCCATCTGTTCCTCAGCTAGGTCATCCTGGGATCTCCATTCTATTGCGGTTGTCCACCGTCTGGGCACGGTTCCGGTAGGAGAAATGAGTGTGTTCATTGCAGTATCAGCTACTCATCGTGCTGATGCCCTAGACGCTTGTAAGTTTTTGATTGATGAGTTAAAGGCATCTGTTCCAATATGGAAGAAGGAGGTTTATTCTAATGGAGAGGTTTGGAAGGAGAACAAAGAGTTTTTGGAGCGGAGATTAGAACTTGGCAAGGATGGCGGCTGCTGCAGAAGGAAGATTGAGACTGAGGCACATGATAAAAAGGAATGTTGCAAACCCAAGGTCAAGATGGACGATAATGCAGATTTTTAGCACCAGCTAAGCTAATTAAAGACAATAGGGATGTGATCACTTTCACGTTTTCATTTACCTATTTTGTTTTCAAAAATATGTCAGAAGTTTTGTAATGCTACATAACCTTGGAACATATCTTATAGATTGCTTCAATCTAAATCTCATCCTGCTTTCTTTTCGTCTCTGTGGGCCATAGATATTGATGAGACGTGATGCTGTTAAGAGGAGATGCAAAGAACAAAATCACTGTTATAGATAATAAAGAGGAGTCCCAGACGGAATCGTTAAAGGTATTTGAAGAGGCGTAAAAGGTTTGGTTTCGAGTAAAAAATTTTTTTTCTCTTATATTAAGATTTTATCTTGATGTAATAAAAAATAATAATAAAGAGGAAGCTTTTCTATGTCACAGATGATAAAAGAGGAAAGGGTTTCCATACTTGGGTTTTTATCCAATCAGTAGCGAAATTCACTTTTCTATGTCAAAATCAGTGTTAACACCTGGTAAAGGGTTTCATACTTGGGTTTTTTTATCCAATCAGGTTGGTGCAAGTGGAAAATACAAAGGGTACATTACATGTGATGTGAGAAACAACAAAGAGTCAAGTAAATGAGAACTTAGTTTACATGAGATTAAAAGCAAAATGCAACTAAGCATCAACCTTTACAAACATCACACTTGGTCAATATCAAATTCCTAATAATAGATAGTCCAACCCAAACAAAGAACAAAACATACAAACAACATCCTGATTTGGCAAATCATCTGAATTCAGAATAACTCTCCACAATGATTTGACAAAAGGCTTTTTGCGGGCGAAAGAAGAGCGACGGCACAGCGATCTGGAGTCGAGAATTTCCGATACACTGCCTTGAGCTTGCTTTCTGAAGCTGTGGAGTGAAATTTAACCAAGAGTTTTGCACAATTCCTGTTACAACATACCAGGAGATGTCACATTGATCGAAATTGACAAAAATAAAGGATAGGAGAAAAGGGAGAGGAGAGATTACAAAAGCTGGTCTTCAGAGTAGCCTGTGTGGTGCTTTAGAGTTTCACTCCAAAGAGGGCTCTTGTCAAGGGTGCATCTTGCAGCATACACCGCAGCAGCAGCTAACATGGAAGGACAGTACAAAACAACAGTTGGGTATTGCATCAGACCAAGCTCAGCAAGGAAAAACACCAAGTCCTCCATCTGCGTTACACCCAAGATCAACCAAATTATAATCTAGAATTCTATATAGTAGACAATTCTGAAAGAAAATGATAATGAGCTGTCAGATAAAATTCTACCTTATCATCAGATGGAATAGAGGCTTTGATGTACCGAACGAGGAAGACATACGCTGTAGGAATTGTTAGGTACCATTCTAACTTATCCAAGATTGCTTTCTCCATGGCCAAGACCTGCTCTCTAACATAAGCATTGTCTGATATGAAAACAAAGTCATTGACCTGAAAAATTGAAAACCAGAATGAAAAGTAAGAGAAACAACAGCAATATCAGCAGAAGCAAAACCCAATTATACAAATGCGCACAAAAAGTACCTCTGGTGCCCAAATCTCTTCGTACTTGCATGCTATTAGCATTGCACTAATTCCTACTAACTGTAGTTCCTTTCTTGATACAACCTTCATCGAAAGGAATCGATCAACAATATTCATGGTAAGATATAGTGTTTCTGGCATAAGGTCGAATTTGCGGTGGACTTCAATCAACCAGTCCATGAGGATTGATCTCATCTTTGCATTGATATCAGGCTGCAAATCGATATAGTCATGTACTCGACCTTCGTCCTGCGTCACAAGACTTGTGATGTTAGCATATGAAATATATAGAAAGAAAAAAAATTATCAGTAAAAGCTAAAGAATATTACTTCTGTGAGCTTGTAGAACTTATAGATATCATCCACATATTCAGTAACAGCCAATTCATTACCAACATCAGCTCCATCAATGTCCTCAATGGAATCTTTAGGCTTATTGGTAAGACCACAAACAGCCTGAAGCGAAATCAAGTAATCAACAAACAGTGAACAACATGAGAAAAACAAAAATGCAATCAATTATTCACTTGATATATCTATGTATGTATTACCTTGCTTTGAGCAGAGAGGATTGAAGTGAGGGTTCTAACTTCCTTCCTTGAAGATTCTTCTCTTCTGGCAACATTTCTGCTTTTCTCAGTTTTTTCATCAGAGCTTATTACGATCACAGTCTCATGTTTTAGTTTGTCAACCACCTTTCTTTGAGCTACTACCACCTTTGTCACTGCACCACCACCTCTTTTCAGAGCTTGTGCAACAGCAGCAACTCCTTCAGTAATTGGTTTCTACATAGCAAACCAAGAGTAATTAGTGATTGACTGACAAAAGTGAGGAAAAGGAAAACAAACTTCTATGTTTATGGAACTACCTTTCCTTGTGCTGCTCGTTCATTGACAAAATTGCCAATGTCTTGAAGAACTCTTCGATTCCTTCCATCTGCTATTACATTTTTCTGCTTCACTTCTTCTAAAAACAAGTATAAAATAGTTAAGATGTTAGAAAAACATAGCTGGAAAGATAACAAAGTATATTATCGATCCAAGCAGTGATTCGGAAAGGAAAAATGAAATAGGTCCAATGGAGGAAAATGAAAAGCTTATTACACATATATTAATACTGGTTGAGGAAAAATCTCAGACTATAAAAAAAGAAATATTTCTCCGTCATAACAAAAAAGAACACCCCAAAGGCCAAGAATATAGAACAAATCAAAGAAATGAACAAGTAATAATTCTCCCAATAATTCTTTTTCTTATGTTTTAGATAAGAAATAAACATAAAAAAAAAAAAATTCCTTCATATTTCCTACACACCACCAAAAAAAATTTCTTTCCTTTTTTCTTCTTAACTTTCCTCCATAATTTATTTTCCTTCAAAATTATCCACAAGCCAAATAGAGTCTAAAGAAACTAATCAAACAATTTCAAATTTAATAAAAGGAAGTCAGCAAATCGAACTACAAAAGCCTCAAAAGATCATTGAAAATAAAAAATAATACTAGTGATATAAAGAGCTAGTCGAAATCCTGAAACCGATTCAACAAAAAAAAAAGTCAAAAACCAAAAGAAATGTAATCAAAATAAAAAAAAAAAGAACTAGTAAATAAGGAGAACCCCACCAAGATTCCCAAGATCAGTGCAAAAAAAAAAAAAAAACTCAAAATTCAAAAGAAATGAACCCAAAAGAGCAAAAACCAGAAAGAATCAAGAGCCAGAAAAAACAAAACCAACCATTGTTTTCCTCCTGAGGAACAGTAGCTGTAGACGCCATCTCTGGTTCTTCTTCTTGTTCTACAACCTGGCCTAAAACTCCACCAATGCTGGCTAACAATGATGAAAGGAACACCTGGAGACGGCTTCCACGCGTCTCCCCTTCTGGATTTCTAGTCGCCACCCTATAACTCTTTTCCTAACTGTATAAATTCTTGGTTTCTACTGTTTTCCCTGTGTTGTTTTTCAGTTTTTGAATGGATTTTCCTTTGTTAATGAGAATGAGTTGTTAACTTTTTTTTTTTTTTTAAGTAGTCGAGTGCCCTTTTGAAGCTATCTAAAAAGGAAGGCGCTTCTCTCCAACGGTCCAATTTCTGAAATCGAATATTGGCCGTTTGATTGAATGGGAATCTAACGGCTATCAAGCGCTATATTTTGGATTTTTCTAGCCGTTACAGGTATACGGGCATTTGGGCATGTGGCTTGATGAGTTAGGTTGGGCCGAATTTTGTTGATATTGGCTATGGGCCTATTGGAGCTGAAATGACAATTTTGTTAGTAAAAAATTAGGAGCTAAACAATTATTACTTCTTTTCTTGGTCATACAAAAATGAAAAATTTTGGAATTAAGATTTAAGGCCGATTTTGCTAATATATTATAGGTTAACGTGGAATTTCCCAATGCACTAAAATTTCGTTCGATTTTTACCATTTTATTTTTAATTTTGTTGATTTTCTACATAAAATAACGTAAATAATAAAAATTTTTCATTAGTATTAACAAAATATTTTATGAAATATCTTACTTTCATTACTTTTGTCAAAAACTAAATTTCACATTTTGAAATACAAACGATGACATGATATGAAAATGATACGAATAAATAATAAAAAGATAATACTATTTAAAATTTTAAAAAAATCATAAATAAATTTAATCAAATGAAAAATTTATATTTTTATATCGATATAAACTGTAAACGTAAATTTTTTATAAAATATAATACGAATATAATATTTTACACTACACTGTAACACAAATTATCAAGTTTATCAAAAATCGATGAAATTGGCTATTTAATTAAAGTAAATTAACAAATTTCAATATTAATTCAGATGATAAATTTTACTTTAATCTCAATTTTTTTTGGATTCCTATTTGGTTATTTCCTAACTATTCTATTATTGTAGCTATTGATACTTGTTTTCATTATTATTTTCATCTTAATATACTTAAAATGTGTTTGATACATAAAATTATGATTTGATAAAATAAAATAATATTATAAATATGACTAGATTAAATAATATCATCATATTTTATGTTTGATATGTACAAAAATTAAGATAGAATAATTAATTTATTAATCAAAATTATTTTTTTTAAAAAAATTATATAATTTAAATTATTGATGTAAATTTTAATGGTATAATAGGACATGAAAGTTCAATATCATATATTAAAAATAATTATTTTTACTTAGAAATGATTGAATCGTCCTATATCAAGAGAATAATTAATTTTCCTTGTAATGTTTTTTTTTTTTTTAGATATACAAATCGAACATAATATAAAATGATTATAATTTTATTTTATTTATCATTTTATATACCAAACATAATCTTGACGTATAAAATACATGACATTGGTACTACAATTGCTATGTGGAATAAATAATTCTCCTAAATTTGCTTAGACAACGATACCATTGGCAGTTAACATGAACTTTATAAAATAATCTCCCAATCATTAGATTAACAATACATGAACTTTATACCTCAAGAGAAAAAATAAATACATGAACTTTTAGATTTCGTCCATTTTTTTTTTTTTTTTACATAAGTAAATTATCCTCTTGGTCCCTTAGCAGTTAGCATAAGGGTACATTCATTTAGTCTCCTAAATATATACATACATACATATATATACATATTAAACTTCAATCCTATTATAATTTATGATTCCAATATTGCTCTCTTTCTATTAACATTGATGAAATTTTAAGAAGTTGTGAGATAACTGATAAGATGTCACGTGAATAAATTATTAAAGACATTATTGAAATTTGTGGGTTTACAAATTAGCATGATGTCAGTTTTTTTTTTTTTTTTATGAAATTACATGATATTAATATTGAATTTAAATGTCACTAAAGCTTTTCTTAAGGAGGTTAGATGATATTTATTTGCATGAAAGTATGTTGATAAGAAGGGAACATAATTCTATTGTATGAAATTAATTTTAGTTGTTAATATAGGTTTATTGAATTGATAAAAATCAAATATTTTATTTGTAATGTTTATATTTGATTTTTTTTTTTGTAAATAATACTTTTTATAAGCAATTTATAAAATTAATGTAATTTTTTAATAATATAAATAAAATATATAGATCATGTTTGATGCATAAGATAATGGATGTGATAGAATAATAATCGTCTTATATTACGTTTGTATGGTATCTAAATAAAAGGATAAAATTATAAAGAAGATTAATCATCCATTTGGTATGAGATGATTTAATTCTCTCAAAATGAATATGATTAAATTAATCCATGAAATTAAATTTACATATTTTATGATATCTTTTAAAATTACATTAATAATTTAAATTGTATACCTTTAAAGAATAATAATTTTAATTAATAAATAAATTATCATAGCTTAATTCTTGCACACATCAAATACAATATATAATTATGTTATTTAATTTAATCCTATTAATAATATTATTTTATCTTATTTTATCATATTTTGTGTATCAAGCACCTCTATAAATTTACATTACTTAAGCACATTATTATTACTTATTATTATTTTAGAAATTCAAACTATTTAACACAACTGGAATTATATAATTAAAAAGTCTTGAATTAGAAGTCTTTATCAATTCAATTTATGACATGGTAATCGACTCCTTCCTTTATCCATGGATCATATTCACAACCCACGCCCAAAGAGGAGTTCTTGTTTTGAATTTGAACTTTTGTAGATGTCATTTTACCCGTTAAACCAAATAAAAGCCGTTTCTTTTTGTTTCGTTGTCAATATACATTAAGCTTGCGGGAAAGCAAAGCAAAGCCAAAACATTTGTTTGACATTTTCCCATCTGTCTGCTCACTCAACGCCATTTATCAAATTCATCATTTCCTTTTCCAATCAGAAACTGCCACCAACTCATTTTTTGCTGCAACTCTCTTGCAATCTCATTTGTTTTCTTCAATCTATTATCCACGTCAGAGGACTGCAACTCTCGCCACTTCTCATGGCTAATTGAAATCCTGTTTCCCTAACCACAATCACAAAGCTTTGACAATTATACCCTAACACCTTAACCTCACTGTTCCTCTCACTCTCTCTTCTCTCCCCTTCCTTCTTCCTCCTTCGCCGTCAACTCCACCTCCTCCACCCTTCCGTCTTCGCCTTCTCCGCCACTGACTCCGGTGTCTTCGCTGCCACCCTCTTTTTCTTCCCCGAACCATAACCCTACTTGGGAACTCTCTTTTATGTCTTCCTGTGAACACTCCCCTTCACAACATCCAAGTTTCTATGGGACCAAGAATTTAAATCATTTGTAGAAATTCCGCGCTTAGATATAAGGTTTGGACCCATCATGTTACAATTTAAAACTCGATATAAATATAATTAAAAAATAATATAATTTAATATTTTAATAATAATTATAAAAAAATTAACATAATTAAAAATATAAATTTTATATTTTTATGTTTTTAAAATATATAACACGTAATCATATATAATATTATATTACCACATATATAAAAATTTGATAAAATTTACTTACGTAAATATTTAGGTGGACAACTTCTATTTTTGACATGTAAGATATTTTCAAATAACTTTATTAAATTAATTATTTAATTTTTAAAAATTTTAAAGTTTCAAAATTTACATTTATCAAAATTTTTTCAAATATATAAGGTTTATCTTAATTTAAATATAATAAAATATATCTTCTCATATTTCACTCTTATCTAATTCAAATAGTTTTTAAAGTTTAAATTCTTAAATCTTAAAAATCATAAAAAAAAATACACCGACTAAATTAATATTCATATAAATTTAAATAAATAAAATTTGTAGTTGAATCTATGTTATTTACCGATTTTTGTCTTTATTTTTTATAATTTAAAATAAAAAAATATTTTATTTCATTTCAAAATCACACATATCTAAATTTAAAATTATACTAACTTCTTTTATCTTAATTTAAAATTAAACTTGGATAAACTAAATTTTTAAAAATTTAGATTTTTTTAAATTAAATAATTATTAAATATATATTTATGATTTTTTCTCACAATCAATATTTTTTTCTTTTCGTCATAAAAATTTTACAAGATAAAATTTCAAACTTAAATATGAAAAAATCTTTCATGATATATCACATGTGTAAATCTTAGTTTTTATACTAAAATAATATATACTTTTAAAAAATTTATGTAATTGTGAATAAAAGATTAATTTTCTCATTGATATTTGTATATAATTTTACTTTCATAATCTAAAACTTTCATAATACTTATTTAGATTCTTTCATAATAATTTATATATCAACAATTTTTTTAATTTTAAACTACAAATTATAAATAATTATAATTATTTTTATTTATTTATATATAATATAAAAATTAATATAAATTAAAATTTTAAACTATAAAAAAATATAATAAAAAAACTAGTATATATATAAAGTATAACATAAATATATAATTTTAATAGTTTATATAAAAATAAACGAATTATCAAATCTAATGTTTTTCTCTCGCAAAAAGTTCGCCACCCGCCGTGGATTTCAACAAAATTTACGTAGCTGGCGATGGTGGTTCTAAAGCTACCTCAGCCGTGGAGGAATACAACTCATAAAATGACACGTGGCGCTTGGTGGCTCACTCGCAAAGGAGGCGTTCTGGGTGCATAGGGGCAGCGGTAAATGGCATCTATTGTGTGATAGGTGGATTGAAGATTGGTGGCGGGTGTGGAAACGGAGGTGGTGGGTTAGAAGCTTACGTTTATGCAAGTTCGATGGCTTTGTATGATGTGGAGGCGCGTGTGTGGTTGAGGAGCAGGGCGATACCAGGAGGCGGCTGTGTCGTGGCAGCTTGCGTGATAGCGGGATTCATATATGTTCTAGCAAGCCACGCGGTGGAACTTTCTTTTTAGCGGTTCGACGCGCGGAGAAAGTGTGGTGACGGTGAAGGGTTTGGAGCGTGGTGTAGAATGAAAGCTCCACCAATGCCAACTCAAATAAGGCAGGCTATTCTGTTGTGTTGGGGTTGGGGATAAAGCACTTTTGATACAAGTTGTTGGGTGCACAAATAACTTTTTGAGAAGAAGTGGAAGGAGCCAAAGGGGTCTAAAATATGGGCTTGTTTTTATATATGATAGCATTGATGGTGAGTGGAGTCGAGCGGCGGATCTCCCGGTGGTTAGACAACGCGCCACCTGCGTGAGTGTGGAGTGCTAATGGGCACAATTGCTGCTAACTGGTGGCACCTTTAAAAAGCTTTGGACCTTTGGTGATTTGTGTAGCATAAGAAGCAGACAAAATGTTCATTTGTAACATGGAGAAGAAAAAAGGCAACCAATAGCACATAAAATATTGATTATTTAAAATCTTGATTCCTGATTGGATTGAAAATTTTGAAGCAAATGCAGGATAAAATCTTATCAAAAAAGCTTGCGCGTTTGTTGGTCAATCTTAAAGTTACCCATCATATTCCAAGATAAAATTTCTTAAGTTAGAGTTTGTGAGATTTTTTTTAATTAAAAATGATTAAATAAAAATTTAATTTAATAGTTTGAAAGATTTTTACTTAAATTAAATATATAATATTTTAAATAATTTGAATGTGTTTTGATATTTTATTCAAATAAGCTTTTTTCTTGATGAAGTTTGCACAATCGAATAAATATCGATTACATCTTATGGATAAATACTATTTTTGATTAATTTTAATATATTATTAATTTTTTCTTTAAGTTTCATTAAATTATTGATTTTGATTTTTAAATTTAATTTTGATTTAATTGATTTTAATGGAGAACATTATGAACATGACCTAGAAAACGTTACATAAGTTCTCTCCTATATTTCTTGGCGATAATATTATATAAACAAATAGGAAACTTTAATTTGTTTACAAAATTATCAAAGCAAAGCATATGGACTAAATTGAACATCTAAAAAATATTTGCGGGTAAAAGGAAATTATCCCAAAGGAAAAATATAAAAAAACAGTAATGGAATTTTATATTTAAAAAGTCTGGTTCGGAAATGCAAGGAATCGAACCTCTTACCTCACTCATGGCAAGCCAGCGCCCTCGCACGCCACTATTGGATCCAAATTGCTTACGGAAGCTCGTAAACAAAAAAGGTGTCAAAAAACGCCCCAAAAGCCGGAAACTCCTGGAACTCTTTTACTGTTGAAAAAAGAAAACTCTTTATTTGAATCTTTATGCATTCATAGATTCACCAAAACCCCACGGCAAAACCCTTCATATAATTTGTCCCTTTCCCTCCCTCCCTTTGGAAATGGATTTCCAAGTTGTGGTTTTAGCAGGTGACACTTCAAAGAATCTAGCTCCCCTTGTCTCTAAGGTCTGCCCTCTCAATTTTTTTTTCCATTCAAAATACCCTTTTCATAATTTGATTAATCTTTTACTATTTTTTTTTCTTATTTTTATTTCTTAAAATGCTTGCAGGAATTGCCTAAACCGCTGCTTCCGGTTGCCAACCGCCCTGTTCTTTACTATGTTTTGCACCAATTGGAACAAAGTAACCTTAAAGATCTCATTGTTGTAAGAAAAAAGAATTGCCTAAAGGGAGATGGTTTAAATGGATGTTATTATTGTTTATAGTTTTTAGGGTTTTTTTTTTTAAAAAAATTTGATTTGAATGTTTGCGGATGCAAATAGGTGGTCGAAGGGAAAGAAACAGCGGTTCTTGTTGGTGATTGGATTTTTGGGACTTTTGTTGATCGTCTACATGTTGAGGTACACTTACCTTTTTATCTTACAATTTAATTTTATGATTGTTTATGTTGAAACTATGCCATTTTATTTCTTAATGAAGGATTTATATTAGACTTGAATTACTTGTCTGTGTTTTATGAATTTTATTACTTGATTGGAACAAATGTAAGGTACATTTGAATTTGATTAGTCTCATGAAATTTGATTTTGAGAAAAAAAATTTGGGGAGGGTTGTTTTGTTGCAACTAGGTCAACTGTTAAGGTATTTCAAGGTTGTTGATGATGCACAATATCAAGAAGCTGATTAGTATCTCAAAATATCAATGGATAACTTGATTAAGAGTCTTTTGTTGCTTTGCTAGAAAGGACCAAACGTCGGTTTAATTGAAGTTTATGGAATGAGTTCTGTTGCATGTTATTTTGTGTTTTATTAATTCTTAAATTTTGAACTACAGTTTCTCGAGCTCAAAGTTCCTTCACCTACTCAGAGTTTTAACTCATTTTCGCTAAATTCTCATCAAGCTTCAAGACTAAGAACAAATTTGCTAGAATCAAACAAGAATAAGCAGCATGTGAATTCTAGTTTAGGAAATCCCTAGAAACCTACCATTTGCTCATTCTGTAACTTGACTGGCAGAATACCACACTCCAAGAAGGTTGTCACCTTCACAGCACCAAAGAAATGAACTAGAGATGCTTTTTTTTGCCTACTCAGAGAAAACAGGCAAGCTAATTACATAAATATTGAAAAAATAATCTTCTCACGAAGGCTTCAAATTAGAAGCTCTGCCTTCTTATGAAGATTTAACTGGAGAGACATACATCAAATTTACAGGATGCCCGTCTTTTTCACACAATCATATTCTTTCTTCGTGTCGCTATTGATGCAAGACTTTGAAAACGGTTCAAATGTTTTGGATGTTGTGATTGGTGTTGTGGTGGCTTACGAGTAGAACTATTTGTCATTGAGAGAGAGGAACACATGAACTTTTAGGTGACTTTGTGTTTGTAGAATTAATTTCAGAAATAGTATTGCGCTTTATGGGTTTGTTTTAGTTGTTTGTTTTGTCAGATCTGGAATTATAACCGTACAATTTGTGAAGTACTAAACAGTCTTCATTGGGTGAGCTTGAGTTAAAAATTTTGTAAATGTCATAATAGGTAGTTCAAGCTTGGGAAGGTACATGGAGCAAGTATTGTAGGTTTAGATGACAAATATATCAAATCAACGGAATAATGTGAGGTAAATCTCTTTTGGCAGATCTTGTGCATTGACTTGTAAGGGACCATGACACAATGTCAATAATGAGTGTGATATTAACAACATCATTTGCCCTTTTGGGTGCAGTGTGGCATCTGCATTCGATGGTGGGAAACTTAATATATGCCCATTCATGCATGTGCTGGAGTCTCAGAGTTATTTTCATGGTGCTTCTCTGGACCTGAAAATTTCAGTCCTTGTCTTAGCTAGGCTGAATATTGCCTAATGAATTGGGCTTTGCAAATTGCAAGATTTGCAAATCTGTTATCAAGAAGAAATGGAAGAAGGCTTTATGAATGTTTATGCCAATATGATTATATGATAATCAGGCTAAGCTCTTCTTATTATGTTACACTATATTTAATGGTTAAAGGTTGTGTAATGCAGTCATGGAAGCAGGAGTTTTCCTGTTATGGGATTTTAGTTTGAACAGTTTTGATTATTTTATGTATGGGAGCAAATGGCAATTTCATCCATTTGTGTTTTTCTCATTTTGGCAAAGTCTGGAGTCTGGCAGAATCTTATGGGCTTCATGTCTTTCCTCCTTTCTAGGTCGTCTTCTGTTATCTAGTTTCTTTAAAAAATCAGGTGAAGTTCATTTTTTGGTAACTTGGGGACCAAACTTTAGATCTTCATAAATTGACTTGTCCTGTTTTGATTTCTTTTCACCAAGAGATGTCTTTTGTCAAAAAGTAGACTTTTGACTACTTTAATATTTTCTAAAGTATGGTTTTCAAACAAATGCTTTTGATATTAGTTTTTCTCATTACTTTCCCTTTTTCCATGCCGTTCCACCTTTTTTGCCTTCTATTTTTTTTTTTTTTTTTTTTTTTTTGCAATTAGTATTTCTTCATATCAGAATCTGTTGTCATTAATCTGAAGCTAATTGGGGTTATACAAATTCTATTGTAGAATCTGATGACCCCCCATCCTATATTGGCTATCCTAGAACATTTTGATGTTAACAAAAATAGATGTTACTCTACAAAACTCTCATCACTTTTTTGTACATAAAGAATCCATTTATCAAATGTTGTTCTTCTTTTTGCTTTCAAATTGAGTCTATTAGTGTAAATGTTTTCCTTTTTTCTTTCCCCATATCCAAAATTCATATATCTAAGATGATGCATGCTTTTAGTTTCTCTTCTTTTTTCTTGAATATGCTTTTTAAGGTTGTAAGGTTGCATTTCATTCTTGTGATTATGAATCACTTGTTTGCTGTGATGTTCTTCTTTGCCTAGTTAATAACTAATTAGGTTCCTTTTTTCTGACATTCCAGATTGCTGCAGTACCTGAGGTTATTGGGACAGCCGGGGCAATTAGGGCAATCTCACACCACCTTACTGCAAAAGATATTTTGGTTAGAATTGGTTTCGCTAATAGTCTTTTAGTTCCCAAGCAAAGTAGTTTCTTTACAGGCCACTTCATTTTCCTGCAGGTCGTGAGTGGTGATCTCGTTTCTGATGTTCCTCCTGGTGCAGTTGCGGCCACCCATAGGCGACATGATGCAGTAGCTACTGCAATGCTTTGCTCTGTTCCTGTTAGTGGACCTTCAGAGTCAGGATCCGCTGGTGGAAAAGACAAAGCCAAGAAACCAGGAAGATACAACATCATTGGACTGGACCCTGGCAAACAATTTTTATTACATATAGCAACAGGTTGGATTTTTAACTTTCTGTTTTATTTAATTTGTTACTTGGACTGGATCCTTACATAGAATCTTTTAATGCTTTGCAGGGGCAGAAATTGAGAAAGATACTCGACTTCAGAAGCGCATTATCCGTGCAGTAGGCCAGGTATTGCTTGCCAGTTACTTTTTTTTTTTTTACAACTCTTCAGTAACTGACAACTAATGCCCGATTGGTGAAATTGATTAATGGTAGCCTTCTGTGCTCCCACACACAAGTGTAGAGTCTCAGTTTTTTACTTAAAACAAAACATATTCTATCGATTGGACCACCCTTTACCTGCCCATATGCCAATTTAAAAGCTACTAATACTCAATTTGACTGATAATTTAAAGGCTACTATTTTAGTCTAGTGCTTCTAAGAGGCATTAAAGTTACCATAAAATGTCCTTGTGTTTGTTGGCATAGCTAGACTTGGCAATTCGTGTTGGCTTGTTGTATCTCGTGTCATGTTTGACACGTGTAATGGCACGAATTATTAAAACATGAACACGGCACAAATTATAAAATGTGTTTAAATCTTAAACACGAACATGACATGTTTATTATATATGTTACACGCAACACGACATAACTAACACATGTACAATTAATCTATTTACACATGATATGAATAAATACAAATAACAGAGATATACACAAATAGATACGACTAACACGAATATACATGAAAACATGACTAAAATAATAAACAACTATAAATTATCCATCATTTACACCTTACAACTTACAATTAAGCATTTGCCTAGTAAGAATAAGTACTAAATTCCTAAGACACTAAACGCTAAACAATAGTCAATAGCTTATGCCTTATTTACATAGTGTAAATCACACTACATCAAGTCCAAGTCTCTAACCTTCATAAATGATGTTCCACTAAAGACATTAAACAGTAACTTACATAAAAAGTAATAATGTCTCCAATCCATTCCATACTCCATATTATATATATTTAAAATAGAAAATAATCCTAAATATCCAAGTCAATGTTTAGTAGATAGTAGATACTAACATGTCATCATAAACATCATACCCAATTCAACAAATAAGGCATACCAACCTATTAGGTCAATTTATTCAAAATAAAAAAAATAAAAATAAGAATATGTATATATAATAATCATATATGTATCTATGATAAAAAGTTTATTCTAAAAGCTATGTTTTTTTATACTTCTTATTTTTTCGTTTTTCCCTATACATAATATAAATATATTGATACTAGATTTTTTGTTTCTAATAAATATTACTATATATTTTCAATAGTTGCTTAATTAGTATGATTTATTTGTTAAAGATCCTAATGATTTATGAAAATTATTAAAAAATATCTAATTAATATATATTTTTAAAGTCAAATTAATATATTTATGTTACTTATAGTAATTTTTTATATGCTATAATATGATTAAAATAAATTACATATTTTATTTATCATGGTTATACTCATATACATATGATTTAGAATAAATTATATATTTTCTTATGATTATATATGGGTATCATATGATATGATTTAAATTTTAAAATAAAGTAGATAAAACAAGTCGTTAAGATGAGTATATATATTACATTATAATAATATCTTATCATGTTATATAGAAATATAAATTATATAATCTCTTATCATTATAAATATTATTTAGAAGAAATATGTTATATTTAATTTCAAATGTATAATTTTTTGTCAGGTAATTTAAAAGAAACATGTTAAGTTTAATTTCAAATGTATAATCTCTTATCCTGTGATTTAAAATAAAGTATTTAAAATAGATAATCGCAATGTATATTTACACTAATAATTTATAAGTTACGTTTTAATAATATCCTATCATGTAATGTAGAATATATTATATAATTTTTATCATCATGCATATTATTTAGAATATGTGATTTTTAATTTCAAATATATAATCTTTTATTTAACTCTTATGATTTAAAATATTCATATATCATGATTCATGTTATTAAAATGATCATATAGTTTCTTATTATTATAAATGTTATTTATTATCAGTATGATCTATCATTGTGTATTCATGTGATTTGGATTTGCATTATTTGATTAATGATCATAATGGATGTTACTTGTTATTAACAATTAAGTGTATATTATTTTTCTTAATTCTTTTTTTAATAAAATACTTTTTTTTAATCTTATTGTAAAAAGTTATAAAGAACAATCTATATTTAATATGTTAAGATTTATATATCTGTATAATATATGCATTATTAATATAAAAAAAATACTGGCATATTAAAAAGTATAAAAAATTTGATACCCATTTAATATGCATTTAATATATATATATTTAAATTTTAATATATACATTACTAATATAATAATCATGTATACATAATATATTAGTTTTTAGTATCAAATCCAAAATGATGGATTACTAAAGATTAAAGAATAAAATAATGATGTATCGGATTAATATTATTATTTATATTGTATTTATTTTATTAATATAAAAATAATTATTATAAAATTATTAAATAAATATCATAATTAAATGTTTAAAATAATCTTTATATGCTACTTAATAGCTAATTAGGTCTCATTATTAAAAGATTAAAAATTTATCTTTATATGTTTATATTAAACTAAAATAAATATAAAAATTGTGTTAAACATATTAAATGTGTACTCATATGATATAATTAAATTGAATGTGTTTTTCGTATTGTGTCACGTGTCACGTGTTAAACATGTATTTTTGTAACATATTTTATCTAAATGTAGTTTTCGTGTCTTACACGTGTTTAGACATATTAATAAGTATAAAATACGAATTATGTCGTGTCGAAATTCGTGCTAACATGAATAAACACGAGACGTTTTTCTTTGTGTTGTTTTCGTGCCATGTCACAGTATCGTGTATGAAATTGCCAAGTTTAAGCATTTGCTTATCATGTCATTCTATTGGTCTTATGATATTATTCTATGCTATTTACTTGTAATGGTTCTCCTTCACTCTATATGCGTGTGCCTATGCATTTATTTTCCTTTCGTCAAATGGGAAAATAAATTCTGTTAAAGAAGTTTTTTTCCTTTTGCATTTCGATCATCCATCAAATGTCTTATATTTGTGAGTTATTCTGTTGTTAAGCTCATTTTTGCTTTTATCTTTTATATAGATGGAAATTCGATCTGATTTGATGGATGCTCATATGTATGCATTCAAGAGGTTGGTTCCCTCTCCCCGACACCTCTAACCCAATGCTTGCTTTGAAATGAAATCAGCTTTCAAATCCAGCGTGTTCTGTTTTTCTTATAATTTCTCATTGTATTTCCACTCAGGTCTGTCCTGCAAGAAGTTTTAGACCAAAAGGATACATTTCAAAGCTTGAAACAGGATGTACTTCCTTATCTTGTCCGGAGCCAGCTGGTTAGTATCACTACATGTCAGGATGCACAAAGACCACATGTATATCTGTGTATCTAATTTTGTTCCTGATTCTTTTATAACTATCAGAAATCAGAGGCTTTATTAAATGGATTTCCAAAAGCTGAAGAAACTGGTAATGGGAAGGTTAGTTCCCAGAACAAGCAAGTATTCGTCTCTCAAATCCTTGCCAATGCATCTACCACAAGCTTTCACCAACCCTCTTCTGTGGATCCTGATGGTTATGTCTCTACTCGTAAAACCCATACATGCTGTGCATATATTGCAAGTAGCAGCAAATATTGTGTGCGCTTAAATTCCATTCAAGCATTCATGGACATCAATCGAGATGTAAGTTCTATTTCTCATTTATACTCTTTTTATTTGACACTCTGCTTTTTAATCCACTTTTTATGTCATTCAGTTGACTTATTTCTATCTCTAATATTTCAGGTCACTGGTGAGGCAAATCATCTGCTAAGTGATACCTCCTCAGATCATAATAATATCATAGGTCCTTCACCGAAGCTTGGAACCAAAACTACAGTAAGCCTACATCACCAGCACAAACTTTTAGAATTATTTAAAATCAATTTGGTAACAACTGACGGTTATTATGATATATAATAACAATTGGGGGGGGGGGGGGGGGGGATTTAACATACATGCTTTACACTCCTAAAACTAAGGTCTTCTCTTTCTATACTTTTAGGTGGGACCAAACTGTATGCTGGGAGAAGGTTCAGAAATGGGTGACAAATGCCAAGTAAAACGATCTGTTATTGGTCGTCACTGCCGGATAGGTTCCCATGTGAAGGTATGATGATTTCTCTCCAGATAGGCAACTAAGATGCATGAGAAAGTAAATATGATGCTGTAAATAAAGCTTCTCCCCTATTATTTTGTCATTTATGCATTTTTAAATAAAAGGAAACTTTCAAACTTAGATAATTGTTCACTTTGTAACTGAAAATTCCTTTCCATGCATATGCAGGTTGTTAATTCGGTTGTAATGAATCATGTTACCATTGGGGATGGCTGTATAATACAAGGTTCTGTGATTTGCAGCAATGTACAGCTTCAAGAGCGTGTTGTATTGAAAGATTGCCAAGTAATTCTCTAACACTCTAGTGTAAACTTTACACACACACATGAAATTGCAGTTGTTTTTATTCCTTTATTACTGTTAGTATTTATAGCAGTAATTATTGTATTTTGCTTCTTTTAGGTTGGAGCAGGTTTTGTAGTTACTGCAGGAAGTGAATATAAGAGAGAATCTTTGGCTAGAAAAGAGAAATGAGTGAAGGCCATATCCCAGAATTGCAAGAAAAATGCTGATCGCGACCCATCTCATTTTTGCAGTGCTTTTCAGACATGGTTTTCCGGAACTTCTGCTGCTACTAAAATGCGATCCTTGTCAAAGTGAGGGAAAGGCCGATGTCAATAATTGTATTTTCCTGCTCTCATTTTATTTTCATTTTTAATAGTTGTGTTGCTTGTATTGGATGGACTCAACCCTGTGTATTTTTCATCGACTAAAGGGTATATATAGGCTACCCCAATTTTGGCTAATTTTTTTGATAAAATTTATTAGTAGTAAAAAAACGGGAAGGCCCTGATCATATTCTTATTCAATGATGTTTTTTCTTCTCTTGAATGTCAACCAGACCCTAATTCAATTAGGACTGGCGTTCAACACACCAAAAGATAAGCTAAAAATCAACATGAAATTTTGTTTGCATGAGCAATCAAGATCAGCATGTCAGAGCATTATATCAGAGACAACAGATCAAAGCAACACTCTTATAGCATGTTTATTTTCTTAATCATTTTTATGTCGGAAAAGGAAGCACAGGAAAGCCAACAGTCACATGGTTTGTTGGTATTATTAGATTTTTAGCTTCAGTGATCAGATTTAAATCTTTATAATCTCATATATATATATATATATATATATATATTATAAAAGGAACCACAGGAAAGAGTAATGCAACAGAGAAGGATTATCATATCTTGGCAAAATCCATCGTTTTCTTTCCGTCATGCTTCTTGCTGAAAAAGTATTTGAAGTAATCAGAGAAGATAACTTCCTTGTATAATGGTTGCTCTCCGCTTTCTAGCACTTCTGGCAGAGGACCAAAAACAGCATCAGGTCCTGGATTCACAAAAATGGGCACTGAAACTCTGTCCTTCCTTCCATTGGCAACCACACGATGTTCAATGCTTTTGTATCTGTCATTGCTCATTATCTGAAGAATGTCTCCAATGTTGATTACAAGTGCCCCATCAATTGGTGGAACATGAATCCAGCTATCATCATCGCTTGCTCGTACGTAAAGGCCACCATTATCATCTTGGAGGAGAACGGTAATTGTCGATATATCAGAGTGAGGGAGTACTCCTGCTGTGAGGTCGGGTTTTGGGCAACGTGGATAGTAATTAAGGTTGACTATTGGTGAAGCCATTGAGGTGTATTCTCTAGCTTTGTCAATCTCTTTCACCTTGAGTCCCTTCAATAGGACATCCAGCAGCTTCCTGATGACCGGTTCTGCCCTCTTCATATATTCCACCACTTGATACCTATAAAGCACATAGATGTCAGTGATTATGGACTGTACGATAAGATACTTCCATTCTATGTTTAGGATAGACCAAGGAATAACCACCACCAGGAATTGGAGGGGGGGGGGGCAAAAAAACTGTTCGCAGCATTTAGAATGGCAATTTTCAGCCTCTGAAAAAGCACCAAAATCAAGGTGATAAAGTAGACTGCCGATTCTTGTATTCGTTTCTTAAATAACATTTGCAATTCGTGTATTTATATGATATTTTATACAAAATTAAGTGTTACAATTCGCCTAAATAGAAAACATAAGATACTTCCTTTTTGTCAAGCCCATATGTGGCATTTCAAAAACTTTAAACCGTGTCAAAGCAGCTTTGAGTAGTAGACCAATCCCCTCAAGCACCCATTTAATTAGGCAAATGTCTTAAGAAACTGCTTAAAATTAACATCTTACAAACCTAAAGCTAGAAGAAGATCAATTACCCCCAAAAGAGAAATAAGAACAGATCCAAAGAAAAAAGTTGGAATAATTACTTGCATACAGGAGGCCACAAGGCAGATGATTCCTGATCCCCTGGAACATAACGAAAGCTGAGATAATCTTTCCATTCAAGAACGGCCTCTGCCTGAGGAACAAAGCTTGTTTTCAGAGCCACTGTATCACTAGGCGAATTCCCTGTCCAATACTTCTTTCTCTCTTCGTTTGGTAACCCAAAGAACCTATGAGCCGCTTCCTTTACAGAGTTGAGAACTTCCAAGGGTATTCCATGGTTAATTATCTGAAAGAAACCCCACTTGCTCGCTGCTTGACAGATTGATTCTATAACCTTCGAGTCATCCCAATTGGAAACATCGATAACTGGAATGGGCTCTTCAGGAACTACTCTGCTAGCGTCGAATCTGTCTTCAATAGGTAGGATATATAGCTCAGGAACGCTTTCGATGCCAGCATCAACTAGACCCTTTATTCCATTACCTTGGTTTACGACAAAATCAATTATCTTTTCTGAGTTTGGGTTTCTTGAGGGCATTGCTGGAGATGTAAGAGTTGCACTTTGAATCAAGAGACGAGACAGTCATAATGGATTGTCTGAATTTGTAGCTGCAAAATTGTCAATTGGAGAGGTGAAAATCAAAAAGGGCGGCTGGAGTTGGTGGGATTAGAAAAACGAGTTAATTACTTATTTAACAAGTATGTCACTCGCGCTTCGCGTTAGGTAGTATAGTTGAATTTGACATACTTTTAAGAGAGTTAAAGAAAATTATATTCTAATATTTTAATAGGATAAAAAACTATGTTAACAACTTAAATTTGTGAAAAACAAACTCATTCTATTTGCATTTTTTGGACTGAAGATTGTATGTTTTATGAGTAAATAAAAAATATATTTTTGTATGTATTAATTATAGTATCATGTAAATTTAAGAACAACAAATAAATAATGTATCAGTGAGAGAACTATTTGATAGTGTTTCTCGTCCTTATAAACACAGCTCATATCATCTACAATTTCATTTACGAAGTCATAGAAATTTCAGAAATTTCTAATATCTTCAAAGCAATAATATGAAGTGCTCAAAAGAAAGGAAATGTAAATGAAAACATTTTGTTAACCTACTCCAATTTGAAAAATGGAATTTAGATCTTGATAAATCTTATATGATCAAAGGCACATGTATATGATCACGGCACGAAGTTGATGACATAATATACCAATTCAATAAAAAAAATATAACATCCTCTGTGGCTTAACTTCAATCAAAGTCATGAGAAAGGTTTTTTTATGAAAACTTGCTATTAATTAGTATTTTTTATGATAACTTGTTTCAAGGAATTCGAAGCCGCAAGTTTAAAAAAAAAAAAAATCTAAATGAAATTGAATGATTAATCATTTAGATAAAAGTTTTTACCAAATTAAAGTTGGTTGATAAAAGTTTATTATCAAGATTTGCCTTGAAAATCAAAATCACATATAATGTCCAAAAATCAAATTTGTAATACAATAATTATATTGAAAGTAGCCTTAAAGAAAGCACAAAGAAAAGTGACTGTAGAGAAACATGCTTGAAAATAATGTATTGACATGAAAAATATTAAAATAGAGCATTAGTTATATTCACATTCATGTAGGACATTAAAAAATAAAATAAATTGTCAAAGGAAATCTACGACCTTTCCAATTTAAAAACCAAACTGACTTTAACTTAATCATTCAAATAACTTCAACAATCCCTTAAATAAATACAAAAAATAACAATCAAATATTTAAAACACTTCAACAACCAACTAAAGTATAAAAACAATTCAACAATCAAGATAGTAAGAAAAATCAATAATTAATTTTAAATTCAAAATAAACAACATGAAATGGACTTAAAAAGAGCGAAAAAAATTAGTAATTAATTTTAAATTCAAATTAAACAACATGAAATGGACTCCAAAAGGTAAAGTTGCAAGACCCAAATTAAAAGCAGATGTGAATAACATGAGATCCAATCCTAATTGTAATGATCAAGCTTAGATCAAATTGCAACTAACTAAGTTAATGCATATAACACAGAGAAAGAGCCGGTGAGAATCTATGTTCAATAAGAGGATGCTCTAGAGTAAATCATACATTTGTCTTCAAATTAATTAGGTTAAAAGAAAAAAAAGAAAAAAATAAATATATGCAAAATAATATAAGAAGAATTAATACTTATTCATCTTTATAATTTTTAGCACTTTACTAGAGTATATAAATATATGTATCAACCTTCTTTAAGATTTCTTCTTGTATGGGATAAATGCTTGTTTAAAAAATTTTAGGACATCATGAGCTTCTATAACCTATTACGAACTCTAAATCAAAGGTAAAAAAACAGAGGAAAACATTGAATTGACATGGTTTTTGATTTCTTAAATATAGTTTTATTGTAGATCCCGATAAAAAAAAATATTTTCCTTACTTTTTTCTTTTCTTTCTTTTTTAAAATATTCTTTCGTTTCTGTTCCTTTGAACAACGATCAGTGATAAGATGCCTGCTTCTTATGCTACACTTTAAAATGAGGTCGCAACATAACCATGTTAAATAGTCGCGTGTCATTAGCACTCCCACTTGCACGTCTTGCCTTGGTCTAACTCATTTCGGTCTTTTTATGAAACCAGTAACGACTCAATTTCCTCAATGAATGCATCATATATAAAGCAACCATATAATTAGAGCTTTAACAGAACTTTCTAAATTCATCTTAAGCAATTTAGCACCAGAACTTGTTATCAAAAGTCTTTATCCTATTTAATAAACGAAACACACAATACCTCTTATAGTCTGCATTTGCAGATTCTACACCTAGCTTAAACAACCATAAGTTTATTTTCTTTTAAGCTAGTTCGAACCGTGCAAAAAAGAAAAAAGAATTGCATAATATATATATCTACGCATGCTACAAACACAGTGTTTGCAGTTTTTATAACAAGTATAACTTCTCCCACTGCGAATGCATTGTGTAAGTATTTTAGCTACCACACATAAGAGGAAACAAAACTAGCAGAGATAGTAGCACAATCGAGTATAACTATTACTGTTTAGACACATCATGTTATCTTTCCATCTAAAAAAATCAACAAAAAATTGTATCCAATGCATCAAGAGCCATACAAAAACAATAATTCATTTTCATTTCTACACTAAATTATGAAATGTAAAAACCCAAAAAAGAAGACTATAGAGACCTAACTAAAGAATATACCTCATGTAAAATAGATCTCATGCTTATGTTTGTCTTGCCAACTCCAGTTGATACATAAACCTTAAAGTACATCAACATGACTTTAAACTTAACAAAAAGTAATTTTTTTTTACCAATATATTTTTTAATATTTTTCTGAAAACAAATATCATAATATCAACGCAAAAACCCAACCAAAACAAAAACTAAACTTTTCACTCACCTTGAACCTAATTAGCCAATAACCTTCAACAATTCTTCCACAAAACAATTCTAACCATCATTTATACAATCAAATCTTAAACAATACAAGCATTAAACATTAAAAAAAAAAAATGCAAAGCTCTTCAACTATACCTTTAAAACAAATATCACAATGTTATTCCAAAAAACAACCAAAACAGAACACCAAACTTTTCACTTACCTTAAACGTAATCAACAAACAATTTTCAATAAATTTTGCTAGAAAAAAAACACCCAATCTTAAACAACACAACCTTTAAACCATTTCAAATTAAAATAAACAACATACGAACATCAAAACACCAATAATGAATCAAACACAAAAAACTTACAAATACACAAACTCAAACCGAACCAAACATACAAGTCAAAAACAATGACAACTCAAACAACTATCACCATATTACGTGCAACAAAATAAACTTTCATTCAACTTAAAGACACAAAAAGATAATTACAAAAGCAAACCATCGACACACCTTGAGCTCAATCATAAAATAGCACAAAACAATCCTTGTTAAAAAAAAAAAAAAACTAATCAAATAAAAACATAAACCAATCCACAAAAAAATCTCATTCTAACCACCATCCATGCAACCTAATCTCAAATAATACTATCTTTACATCATTTTAAATGAGAGTAAAAAACATGCAAATCCCAAAAAAATTGAAAAAAATATTTTTCAATAAGAAACAAAAAATCTGAAAAACATAAAAATCCAAACCCTATTCAACAATTTAGCTTCATAAAACCATATTCAACCTTATAAAACGAAAATAATTTGAAGAAAAAAAAAAAGAAACCAATATTCAATCGAACAACTAAAAGAAACAAAAATTTTTACCGAAAAACAAAAGAAAAGACAAAACTGAAAGAGAAGGAAAAGAGTATAGACCCAAATACAAAACACAAAGCACTTCTCTGTCTTTCGCCCCACCCTTTCAATTTTCCACCCTTTTAATTTTTGAAATAACCTTTAGTGCCACTAATCATGAAGACAAAAAAAAAAGCTTTGAAAGTTGGGTGTCAAACACGGGTGTCGATTATAAAATAAATTTCAAATTTTGCATGAAGCTTTAACAAGAATCGGTTAAAAATAGTAAAAAAAAAAAAAAAATTATCAAGCAAAAAAAGGAGAGAAAATTAGAAAAATAGGACAAGTGTCCAACATACGATGCTTAAGGGATCCTTCTTATTTATAGTATTTTAGATATCATAATTTTGATAAAATATATAAATTGATCTTTAAAAAAAGTATAATTTTCACACTAAAATTTTAAATTATATATTATTAGAATGATGGATGGATTATTTTTAAAAAATTAAATTGAATAAAATAATAAATGATAAAAGTAATTATGTTATTTTTCTTGTTCTAAACATTTTCATAAAAAGATTTATATTTTACTATATATGGGAAAATCACAAATTTAATAAGTAATTTATAATTTTGCAAAAATAAAAAATTATAATGCTCAACACACAGTATTAAAAGCAAATAGGAAGCATTTTTTTTAAATCAACAATTTTTTAAAATTTTGAAAATATTTATTTTTTTTTGCATGTACTACTATAAAATAATATAAATATAATTAGATTTTGTTATCAATTGATAGTTCTAATAGTAAGATTACAAAAAATCATATATATTGAAAATAATTATTTATAAATTGCATATCAGATATTCCGTTGATTTTTCTTCTGATTTTTTTCATTAACTTTTAGGTTGTGCCACTTAGTCAACACATGTATGGAACACTTGTTTGATGATGTGTACATAATTGTTTTGTTGAAAATTTTTAATTTAATCATAATTTTTCGTAAATTTATTTTTATTTTAAAAAATAAAAAATATATTTTACTAATATATCATAGTATAATAAAATATAAATACTAATGGCTTTTAATATGATAAATTATATTAATTACTTTGTTAAATTTTTTAATTTAATGTTAAATTTTTAAATATATATTTTCAATTTTTAAAAAGAAAAATATTTAACTAATAAATCACAACATAATAAAAAATAAATACTAATATATTAATAATATAAATTAAATTAATTGCGTTGTTACATTTTAATTTAATATAAAACAAATATAAATTTAAAAATATTCACAAATATAAATTAAATTTATATATCAATAATAAA